GACCATTGGTGTGAAGTAGGGCTGCGTCCTCGCGCCTACCGTCTGCACTCTTATTTTCTCTGCCATGCTGATGGACGCCTACTGTGATGAACACCCTTAAATCCGTATCGCATACAGGACAAACGGCCAATATCCCAACCACCGGCGGGTGCACTTCCAGTCGCGTATATCCACAACGACCGTCCATGAACTTCTCTTTGCCGACGACTGCGCCCTCAACGCCACCTCAGAAGGGTACATGCAAAGGGGCATAGACTTCTTCGCCGTCGCCTGTGACAACTTCGGCCACATCCTCAACCCGACGCCGCCTGGAACGCACACCAAATCAGGGTGAACGGCGCCCAACTGCAAGTCGTGGTCAACTTCACCTACCTGGGCGGCACCCTCCCTCGCGCCATCAAAGATCGGCAATGAATTGGCCCGCCGGATCTTCAAAGCCAGCCAAACCTTAGGCCGTCTGCAAAGCAGTCAGGAATCGCCGCGGTCTTCACCTCAGCAACAAACTGAAGATGCAGAATTTAGTCATCCTGTCGACGCTACTGTATAGGATGGAGACCTGAACGGTCTACAAGAAGCAAGCGCGCAGACTCAATCATGTTGACGGATAGTGAAGTTGAGATGACAGGGCCGGATTCCCGACACAAATGTACTGGAGCGGACGGACGTCCTTAACACCTACGACGTGCTGTGGCAGCTGCAACTGCGTTGGAGCGACCACCTCGTGCGGATGTACGATGAACGACTACCCAAACGACTCTATTTAGGAGATGTCGCCACGGGTTCCCGCCGACAACGAGGTCAAATCCGTCTAAACAAGGACGCTATGAAAACTCTTCTGAAGCCTTTACAGATAAACCCGGCCAACTGGGAAGACCTCGTCCGAGATCGACCGACCTGGAGGAGGACAGTAGGAACAGGCGCAGCGATCTATAAAGCCAACTGCATCGCCGGCGCTAAGGTCAAACGCGAGGCTCGCAAATCCCAAATGTGCCCACCTCGTAACGTCAACTCTCAACCATCCCCGACCTTCCCATGCCGCCAGCGAATGTTCCAAACAAAAACCGGCCTTGCAGGATATCTTTGTACCAGCTGCAGCGCTTGGGCTCCACCGGCTACCGCCTCCTCATCTAACTCTGTCTCACCCTCCGCGCCGAAAACTAATATCGGCCGCACTCCATAACCACCATTAACATCTACCTCCTCCTC